CCCCGCACCGCTCCCCCGGCCCTTGTGCGGGGCGGGCAGCGGGCACCCCGCCCGCCACCCTCCCTCACCCCCCACACCCCGCGCCTCCCGCCGCCGCTGCCACTTCTAACCGCAAAAAACCAGCGAGTTTTGCAACAAAACCACGGTTTCTCGCAAGTGGAGAAGCGGGGCAGGGCCGAGGCGCCCGGCACGCCTGCACCGCAGCCAACTCCCACCCTCCGGCCCCGCACCCAGGGGCTCCCCGGCCCAGCGCTGCGCCTGCCAACTTCCAGAATTCCCGCTGGGACACTGTTAACTCCCGGTGGGGCTGAAGTGCCACCTACATGCACAATTCCTCTGGCATCTCCTCCTGCTTCCCCCGTCTGCGTGTCACCGGCACACAAGCTGTAGCCACGGAACCCAAAGAACTGCCCCAACGAGGCAGGAAGACAATTCCAGTGCTCCCAATTCCAAAATACTTACCAGTCTTTACAGGCAAAATTTTTGGCTGTTTCTGTTAACACCCAACAGCCTGGCCGGAGGGTTGTCACTGCAAAGACCCTGCAGCCAAAACTTCTGCTTGCAGGATCCTCCTAGGGCTCTGCTGGACCATCATCTCCAGTCTCCTACACAGGCTGCCCACCACCAGCCCTGCAGGACTACTCCCTGCAGCCTTCTCTTGCTTTTATTACCAGAAGCTGCTCGGCAAAAATCCTTTTTTAAGTTTAGATTATAATTAAATATCAGTGTCCGGGAGCAGAGGAGGAGAAGGAGGGGACAACTCTTCCTCACCCAGCAATCTGCAAACCAGCCAGCTCAAAACCGGTTTTACCAGCTTTTCACTTTCAGCACAACCATCCCGGCTGCACTGGGGAAGATCATCGTCTTCCACCTCAAACAGGTATTGAAATAACCTCAAGAAAAGATGGCCGTGCTGAGCCTTTGCAAGGAAAAAGCTTCCAAAGGGAACAAAACCTCAGGCCGAACAGGCTCTATTTATAAACGTGGAACGATTTCTTCCAGTTGGCAGAACAAGGCTGTTCTAAAGGTCTCTGTGACCTGACTTCATGTGGTTTTAAACCAGCTGGCTTGTTTGAACTGAAATTCCCTCTTCGTTTCCATTTTACCCCACAAAAAAAAAAAAAAAGAATCAGTAGTTCCTCTTGTTTTTTAACATAAAATCCCCCTTTCTTTCCCATTTACCCCCAAAAAAAAAAAAAAAAAGATACAGTAGTTCCTCTTGAGCAACTATCCCAAATTAGGTACGTGGGAGCTGTGGTCAGGGAGCAAAGTACTGTAAGTACACGAGGGGAATCTCAGACGTTCCCATTTACATCCAAGCATAACAAGCATTTCATACAGCACAGCATCAACACCAAGAGCCAGTATCTGCGTGGAGTTTCTGCTGGGGGGGGATTATTTTACTCCAAAACAAGCGTGTATCACTGTATTTTTTAAGTCACAAGCCACATACAGAAAAAAAAAATACTTTTAAACAGTTCTAAGTGAAATTAACACCTTAAAGAATAATAATAAAAAAAAGTTTCAGGTGCTACATTTTCTAAAATTCAAGTAGGTTTTACCTGCCTGCGCTGTATTGGATTTCTGCCATGAATCCGAACACACCGAACTGCCTTTTCAGCCTATTTTTAGCCCTGGAGGAGCATGGCCAAGTGCACAAAGCACTTGTACTGAGACACCTTCACAAGAGCTGGCTTCCAAAGAGTCACCGGTGCAGCTGAGACAAGAAGTCTGATCATCATTTTATTCCATCGATCGCAAATGTATTTTTTAAGTGCAGAACGGCAGGCAAATAAATAAAAATCACAAAATACCTGCATATGAAAGCCTGAAATCACTAGGCCACAATTCCATACAATACCAAAGTAGATATCCCAGCACAGCAAAGACGTGCTGTTATCTTAAAACAGATTGTACATTACAACACAAGCATCTTTCAGACTTCTGCATTTAAATCGCTTTGGGACACAACTGACAAATCCTTTGCTGTACTTGAAGCATATAGCCCCAAAGATGGCATTGCTATGCACTGTGTATATTCATCAACACAACCTCAGGCACTTGCAGAGTTATGAACGCTATTTTTTAAATGTCAGCATTTTCCCCCTCCCGTGGCTGCACGCCTTACCGAAATCCCCAGCGAAAGACAACCTTGTTCCTCTGTCAACTCTTCCCTCCGACCCCAGCCACAAATGCCGAGTTTAAAGCTGAAAGAATGACTAACAAAGTTCCCAAAAGCCCTGGCCCAGACCACTTACCCACCAGCTACCAGGGGATGTTTTCCACGCTGCCAGTAAACACGGTACCGACCGCCCCTGATCCCTTCTGACCTGATTGTTATTGCTCAGCCAGCCTTTGCGAAGTGCACTCATTTTGACTTTGAAAAAAAAACCAACCCAAAAAACAAGCCAACAACCCAGGCTTTCGTGCTGGATCCGTGTCAGCCCTCCGCCACAGCGGGACGGTTTCCTGCCCGGCCCTGCCCGGGCCGCCCGCAGGCCGCGCAGCCGGTTCCTGCCGCCTCACACCCGCGGCGGGAGGCCGGGCCCGCCGCACGCCCCCCTCCCGGGAGGACACCGGCCACCCCCTCCCGGAGGAGAACGGGGGGGACACAGGTTTCTCTCAGAGCAGGCTGCAGCGGGCGGTCGGGCTGAGGGGAATCCCTCACGGGAATTAACGACGCACCCCCCCCCCCG